CACCGGCCCTGCGCATCGCCCAGGCCACACGCATGCCCGTGTGGGCCGTGCCCGATGCCGCCTTGCTCGCGCATGCGCGCTGGCCCCGTGGCCAGCGCAGCCTGCATGTGTTCATCGATGCCCGCGACCCCGACCAATGGCGCAGCGCCGCCGAGCTGGCGCGCAAGGCCAGTGCCTGCGGCCTGCAGGTCTTCCCGATGGTGGCTGATCTGGGCCAACCAGACGGCAGCCACGGCACCCACCACACCCCCCGATTCACCGCCACCCGGCTTTAGAAAACGACCACACCATGGCTACAAAGAAGGCCAGCGCACCAAGCACGGGCGCGGCAAAAACCACCCGACCAGCCACCCCCGCTGCGATTGCCGCAGCGCCCACGGCTGCCCTGCAATTCACCGTCTTCACCGCCACGGTCCCTGACCGCCTCACCAAGGTGCTCACCCTGGCCCCCGATGGCACGCTGCACAAGGAAAGCGCCGCCAACATGATGCGCGGTAGCGCCGTGCGCTCCGTGGCGCACGGCCTGCAGGAACTGGCCGATGTGCTGGAAGCCCTCGACCCCGCACAGGCCACGAGCTGGGGCGTGTGCGATGGCAGCGTGGGCAAGCCTGTGCCCATCGTCCCTGAGCGCGAAGTGGCCGAGACACCGGGCGCCATCTCCCGCACCCGCAGGCACTTTGCTTACCCCGTCGGCCCCGGCGTGATGATGCTCGACCATGACGGCGCACCCGATGGCGAGCTGAGTGCGGACGTGTTCCGCCAGCGCCTGATAGACGCCTGCCCGGCCCTGGCCGATGCGCCCATGCTGTGGCGCCCGAGCTGTTCGGCCGGTGTGTGCACTGCGGATGGCCGCGAGCTGTCTGCACTCACGCGGCACCGTTTGTATATCCCGGTGCGCGATGCCTCGCGCATCCCCGAGGCAGGGCGCGCCTTGGTGCAATTGCTCTGGGCTGCAGGCCATGGCTGGTTCGACGTAGGCCGCGCCGGGCAGGCGCTGGAGCGCACCCTGATCGACGCCAGCGTGTGGCAGCCCGAGCGCCTGGACTTCTGCGCGCCCCCGCTCCTGGGCAAGAGCCTGCAGCGGCCGCACGCCGCCCCTCGCATCTTTGGCGATCCGCTGGCCCTGTTCGACCTCGCGCTGATTCCCCACGATGCCGACATACACAAGCAGGCCCAGGCCATCAAGAAAACAGCCCGCACCCAGCTTGCAGGCCAGTGCGCAGCCCAGCGCGAGCGCTGGGTGGCCACCAACGCCCCGGCCCTGGCCAAG